TGGCTACTACTGTAGGTTATTATACAGCAAAGGTCAACAGGCCGGAAATCAAACCTGCGGCGGCGGCTGTGCACGTTACTTATCCATTTATCTTTCTTCTAAAGAGAGAAAATGTAATTAAGGGAAGTTTTATTAGTATTTTAATAGTATTTAATGATTTCTCAGCAATACCTGCAATAATCTTTGACTAAGAAAATACTCTAAAAAATTACGTGATGTAATTTTATAACTTATAATTAGAATTTATAATGATGCACTCTAAATAATATTTTCATCTAATTGTAAACATACATTTGTTTGGTGTCTATTCGATGTGCGAAACCTCCCCACCCAGAAAACAAGCCCTTCTTTTCTCTGCTTACCGTAGAAAAGCCCGATTAGAAATCCAGAAATCTACAGAACCTGAAAGACGAGCTTTTTCACCCACAACTAAAAGGCAAAACGTTAAAAGCTGATGTTTTAAAGGAGGCGGCTGACAGAAAAACCGGACCAACGCAGAGATGAAGGTTAAAGTTCTGACCAGAGTTCAGCAGTTCCTGCTCCATCACTCCACAGCCCAGCACCTCCATCCAGTCGCCCTGGAAACGCACCTCCAGCTCAAAGGAGGGATGAGTGAACGGGAAGTAACAGTCGACCCACCGGACATCCACGTCTGAACGAGAGGAAGATGGCGGTTAAAGAGGGCGGATGTGTCGGTGCCGCAGTGGCGCCGAACCACTGATCGCTATTTATTCAACTGGGTGCTGATTTCCTGAAAAAAGTGATGATTTGATCTTTGTTTTAAAAGTCTTAAGTCCACCTGAAAATTAGAACATTATTGTTCGATGCTGTAGCGCACATATTGTTTACATTGCCACCAGTCTAACAAGGGAGTACCAATATGGCAGCAGGAGGCTTCACTTCAACCCCGTACTTCCAACTGGAAATCAGCAATCCAGTGAATAAATAGAGATCCGTGCAGAGAACATCTTGCCTGCCCCACCTGATCCAAACAGGTGAGTGACGAGTCGGGTTAAGGTCTGCTTCAGGTCAAACTCCACCAGCTTCACCGCCTCCAGGGTGTGGCTTTCCTGCTTGTGGGGCGTCCGGCGGCCTCCCCGCTCAAAGAGGGACAGATCCTCGCCGTTCGGGACCTTAGAGAAGAGCTGACCGACACAAAGGTCACGTTCAGACGTTTTCCTTTTAACTGCAGGTTCTTCAGTTTATCAGGTTTCCTTCCAACTTAACCAACATCTATTCAAATAAGAAAACACTGAAGTATTCTCTCTTTATAAAGTTAATAATTCTGGAAGCTTAAAGGGACTAAATCATATGACGGAGTATTAGGGCCAGGCTAGAGATCTCTTTTTCTTCTATTTCGAGAATAAAGTCGTAAAATTACGAGAATAAAGTTGTGATATTATCGGAAACAAGTTGTATTTTATGCCAACTCTTCCCAGAAGCCCTTTCTTCCCTAAAATGAGGAATGTGGAGCATC